CTGGGGGAAAAACATGACTCACATTAAGTGTTGGCGCAAAGATGACATTTTGAACAGTTTGTGTGTAAACAGCTGAGCATCTTGAGCACAATATGCTTTGTTAGGTGACTGGAATCCGCTAAATTTATACTTATTTTTTTCCCCCCACAGAAGATACTGGAAAGTGAACTTAAATTTGCCATTTTAAAACCTTTTTTGTAACTGCAGATGGGCAACAATTTGAATTCTTAACTGCCTGGCGTAAATAGTTCAACTTCAGTGGTCGTCAACAGGCCATACATTTGAAATTCATCTGAAAAAGTATGCATGGTTAATGATTTATGATTTGACCATCGGCGAACTGACTTTCACGTTATGCCCCCGCAGGTCAACGAGTGGAACAAAAATGACGAGCGGTTGCTTGCTGCGGTGGAGCACGGCGAGGTGGAGAAGGTGGCGTCGCTTGTCGCCAAGAAAGGCGCCAGTCCTATCAAGCTGGACAGCGAGGGAAAATCAGCGTAAGGAAATTGATCGGAAAGTACTCGAAGTTCGGATTTACACAGGAAAACCAAATGTCCATTCCGACTCCCGATCCGATACCTCAGCAATCCATTTTGAAAAAAAAAAAGAGCCTGCATCCCAATTTGTTCAAATTAATCTAGAAATGTTCATACATCAAAGTATATGTTATCGGTTGTTCTATTACATAAAGCGTCATGTGAGTTTTTTATTCACATTCGACCTCTGTCTCTTCCCCTTGAAACACAACACCCGCTGACCTGCATGTTTTTAGCAGCCAGTAAAATCACAAAGCAGCGAGAAGCTGCCGACACCTGAGCGTGCTGGCGAAACAAATGCACCACACATTTAGTTCACGTCATTGACCTTTTCTCACACACACATACACACACACACACACACACACACACACACACACACACACACACGGTCGCAGATACTCGCAACCTTTGTTCGTCATAAAGAATGTGGCAGTTTGGTCTTTGCAAGACAACAGCACAAAGGGCGAGTCCGCGGCAGCTCCATGGTGATAAAAAGCTAATCGAAAGGCATGCGGGCATAGCTGTGGTGTGTGTGTGTGTGTCTGTGTGTGTGTGTGTGTGTGTGTTTTGTCTACATTCTAGGGAATCTGCATGTGTGTAATTTGCTCATTGGGCTGGAAACGGTTTCAGTCGATTGCCTCCTGAAGTCGCACACAAACAGACGTCCGCCATTCCCACCAAGCCCCCAAATGAAGGTGTTGGTTGTGTTCGCTTTCATCACGACTATCGATCTTTCAGGAAGTTGAAGAGCCATTTGCTGTATTTTTAGAGACTTCCACCAAGTGTATACGTGTGCTTGTTGTTTACAGTAGTTTTTTTTTTTAAATTACAGTTTGCGGGGTATTTATTTATTTTTTACACGTGAACACATTCCACCATAGGACAGAGAGAACGACTTTCAAACAGAGTCGTGTGCGTCTATTCCTGACGTCTTACATCATCCTCCATCAATGAGTAAGTGGCCTGTGAGCTAACAACCCGCCAAGCGTGAAATGCTCCGCTAAGTGGACAAACAGTGCAACTTGGTGGAAGTCCGTGCTCTCCTACGTGCGTCGCAGTTACGTTTTCAGCCGTCAACTTTTTTTTTCTCTCTCTCTCTCCCACTCTCTTTTCTTTTGCATTCAGTCTTCACCTCGCAGCGTCACGTGGTCACATCGACTGCCTAGCTGTCCTCCTCTCACACGGCGCTGACCCGACAGTGGCTGATGCCGCAGGTCGGTATTGTACACACAGCATTATGTAATGGCGTTAGCTATACTTGCTAGCCAGTTGACATCGACTTAGAAGACGAATGTAGTGAGACCATATGAAATTCTACTTCATGTTTATATAAACGAACACATGTTGTGACAATTGTAGCGTTCACGTGCAAATTTACATCGGTGCTGCGCCGCAAACGAGCATTTTCTCTGGAGCAAATTTTTAAACCACCTCCCCGAGGTGGATCAAATTTGATCCGGTGTAAGCCTTTTAGCGGCGCTACGCCGGAGCAAATTTGCACGTGTGAACGCTCTACTGGCGCAGCGCCAGTGCAGTGTCGGACCAAATGTTGCCGTGTGAACACCCCTTCTGATAGAATTGTACTAATTACATTTTTAACTCACCTTTGTGACGGATAAACCTTTGGTTTGATTCATCGCTAGGTTTAAATCCGTTACACCTGGCAGCCAAGAACAATCACGCCGAGTGTTGCAAAAGGCTTATTCAGGTAAGGTGCAATATTCGAAGAATATTTTGTTCAAGCTACTCAGAGGACGAACTGACTGCCCTGGCTTTTTCGAATAAATGAGTTTTTCCCGTCACAAAACGTCAAGTCATAGATAGCCTGTTTCCCCTTCCAGAGCAAATGCCCTGTTGACTCAGTTGACAGCTCAGGAAGGAGCGCTTTGCATCACGCTGGTAAGAGTTCCAAACAAGTGTAAAGTTCATTTTATTGATTTATTGAGGATGAATTTTTGGAAAATGGGTAAATATCTTTTTTTTTTATCAGCCCTCATCTCACATATAGCAGGAATCATTTACCCTTCTTAGAATCAAGTGACGAAATGGAATTTAACTCCAATTCGTTGAACACAAAGTTTGCGCCCTAAGTCTGAAAATGATGAATGTGTCATCAAATTGCTCATCTTGGATTATTGGAGGAAAGAATCCTCTTTTAATTGCTTTGGTCTGTCAGAAGTGGGTGTAGTCCACTTCTGCAATCTCCAAGGAATGCTTCTTTTGTAAAAAAAAAAAAAAAAAATGTTTTGTCCGTCTCATTTCATCCGCAGCTCTTGGTGGAAAGATTCAGACTGTCCAATTTCTGTGTGAACTGAAAAGTGCTGTCAACCTAAAAGACGCCGTACGTACATTCTCATCTTGTCCACCTACTCTATGTCAGAATATAGTTGTCATGCACTTCCATTTTGGTCTTCTGCATCTGTTTGTTGTTTATGTTTCCCCGGATAGAGTAAGGAAAACGAGTGACGGCCAATAAATCACCGGCGGCCAAAGCTCCACTCATAAATTGATTTGTTATTCTGCATTTTGAGTAACGTTTGCGCATGCCTACGTGTCTGCGCTAGAGGGGTCAACGTACTGTGGGAACTGCACTCTCAAGCCGCAGACATGCGGTCTCCAGTGCAGTGGAGCTCCATACCTGTGGTTTGATCCGATTGGTATTTCGTGAGTGTGCGCGTTAAGTCATTTACATTTCCAGCTCCTGTCATCTGCATACGTATTTGTGTGGAATTCTCACAACTTTGAACAAACGCTCAGCAAGTCATTGAAAGAAAAATGGGGGCCACGCGCTTCGTCTTACATATGTCGGAAACAGATGGATCCCGTTGGCATGAATGGAAACCCAAATTCCTGACCGAGATCATACAACTTGGTAGTAGCTTCTTGAAATGACCCCAGTAACTGTGGCGAACGCAGGCCTGCTGCTGCTCCGAGCGTGCTACGTCACGGTTTCCAACTCGGCACAGGCGTGCATGCGTGCGGAAGCACGACAGCGGTGTAATATAAAACACGACGTGGCTGTTGCTTGGATACTCTTTTGCCCTCTGCAGCTGCACACGACTGTCAGCGTAAATGCTTAATTGTAACCTGCTGTGGATGAAAGCTTCGTGACATAACGTGATCCGGGGACACATGACCTCATTCCACCTTTTTAATACACTACAAAGCAAGCACCAACAATGCCAGCAAAGTTGAACAGGTGCTTCTGTCCTGAAAAATGCATTGTCTTCACACAGCATGACATACTGGAAAAATATGTCAAGCTGAGTGAAAGAAATCACAACGCCGGATTCAATTAAACTTGCGTGCAACATAGTCCGTCCCCCGATATCGTGGTTCACTTATTGCGGATTCAGTACATCATGGATTATGATTATTATTGTACAGCGCTACGTCCACTTTCCCATGTGGGTGAAATGTGACACTCTTAAGTCATAAACTCCTTCCCAGCATTTACATGACCTTGAAACATCCAGGAGTCAGAGGTTTGTGGTGCATTTAGCACATCCAATGTTAAGGTTAAAGGGCTGCCCTATCTGGGGGGGAGATACACTCAAGCTTCTGCAGCTGCCACGCTCCAAGTAGGAAATGCGGCCAATCGCATAGAGATGTGCGTGCACTGGAACACAATCCATTCTGTGACTGCTGCTGGACTTCTAAGTTGTTTTACTCAATTTTTGCTTTTGGAAGTCATGAAAAGTGCATGGGTTTGAGGCGCAAAAAAAAAAAAAAAAAACGCCCTCTTTGCTCCTTCTCACTTAGGCATTTGTGTTTGTGTGCCATGACGCATTCTCTCCCCTTTTCACATAATTCCGAGACTTCTCTCACCACACAGTCACTGAACATACCATTCATGTCTAATGTCCAAGTTCACTCCACATGAGTTAACGGTAGTTAGGGCTCGGATTTGAATCCAGGTGGTGGTTGTTTCCCCGTTGTGTATTTAATGTTGGCACTGCTGCCGTTTTCCCCCAAAGGATGGGCACAGCCCTTTGCTCCTGGCAGCCAAACACGGCCATGCTGAAGTGTGCATCACTTTGCTGGACTGCGGCGCTGAAATCAGCACTTCTGACAACAGTGGCAGGTAGGGAGCACAACAGCAGCCAAGTTGCAAACACGGACCAAAAAGCGGGAGTCTTGGGCACAGTGCGGTGGCTTCGAGCTTTGTGGATTATGAACGGCGTGCGATGAAAGAATACGCGGTCACGTGGCACAAGAAGACATGCTCGGTTACCGGCGTGCTGACCGTATTTCATGATTTTTTTTCTGCAAATAAGTGTTAAAATACTAAATTGGCGAATTGAAGGCCAACCACACTTACTGCTTCGCTGTACTGTGAATACCTACTTTCAAATGCACGTTGCAGGACGGCGTTGATGCTCGCCACAGAGTCCAACGCGGTGGCTGTCGTCGAAGTTCTGGTCCACAGAGGGGCAATCCTATCCGCAGCGGATTTTCATGGCCGCGATGTCCTGCACTATGCCAAAATGTCCGCCAATTGTGAGGTTAAAGCTGCACTCACTGCTGCTCTGACCAGGCAGCTCCCTGGTGAGACACAAACACACGTGCGGGAAAAATAAAGACATGCAAAGTTGGAGTACACACTTGAACCACTTGAATTTTGCACTTCGATACAGTTTGACTGTCTCAGAGTTAATGCCTCTTCCGTGTCAATGCAGTCAACACTGCCATCTGGTGGAGAGTCTTAGTAGTACTATCTTTTGGACGTGTCAATGAGTTGATGTGGGTTTTTTTTTCTTTTTCACTCATGTTACAGATGCCAAGTCTCCCATAAGTCCTGCGGTAAGAAACCATGCATTTCAACATTTTTACACGAATCAATTATGAACTCTGAAAAGAAAAACCCTCGTTTTGCCTTTGTAAACCCGTTTGCTATAATTCGAGGAAACTCAATTCTCATCACTCAGACATTGAAACTAACCACCACTGATTCCATTTCTCCCTTTGCTTTTTGCTGACCCCTATAGCATGATCAAGTAGCTAAGCTAAGTGATGAACGGATCACAACTCCCAAAAAACGAAAAGCACCTCCACCTCCTATTAGCCCACTGCAGGTAAAACGCATGTCTCTCTTTTGTCTGCTTGTATCAATGTCCTGCACTCTTGTATTAATACACATTTTGGAAACAGTATTCAGTAGTAGTCTGGCCTGTTTTCTGTGAAAACACCGGAAGAGCGGTTTCCCAAAAGCAAGCATCAAATAATATTAGCAGATAAAATCTTCCTTCAAACAAGCTTTTGGGATTTGTTGTGCATACACATCAAAATAAGTCTTTCGGAGATAAAATCACTTTCAACTTTGTCCGCCTGCAGAGGTCTGGAGCGTCTTCGCCTTCAGTTTCTGGGACCCCTTCATCCAACAAAAGTGACACTCCAAAACGATTCAATTACAAGGTAATGACCAAAAATTAGAAGATGATTCACTCATTGGCCAACGCACAAGGAGGTCCCACCTCGACTCCCATCTTATCCTCTCCCAATCGCCACTCCCACCCACTCCACTTTTTCCTCGCAACCCCCCCTCTGCTCCCTCCCCCCTTGTTCTCGTATGGAAGGATGATGAAGCCCGAGAGGACGATGAGAGGCTGCGCAACAACCAGAGCACCATGTTGCTGGAGACAATGGACGACTCGACGAACGCCGATGAAATGGATCCCAAGGTAATTAAACCGCCGCATTCGTTTTTTTCGATAACACAATTCGACCAATGCAGGGGCAACTTCTATCACTTATGAGTGACAGCTTGCCTTTGACTTGAAAAGCAGAGCGTGAGTCATAACAGTGACAGAATCTACAGTAGTAGGAGTTACCTCAAGGCATATGTCTTTCTCCTTCCGTTCACTCAAATGTTTCCTCATTGCAATTGTTGCGCTTTGTGTCGATGCGTTTGCCGCGTTTAAAACTTCAAACGTACGCTGGATATGGAGAGTTGAGCGCCACGGGACATCTGTTTCGAGCTCAACTTGTTCACCTTCAGCATTCTTGTGGAGGTCGAACCAAAGCTGACATGTCGGGGCCTGTTTTGGTGTTGGCTGACTTGCGAGTGGTCCTGAGCTCAGGCTTCTCAAGTGTCTCCAGCTCGTAATGTATACGATATGTTGTTTGCGTCGACAGGTCGAACCCGGTGTTACGCCATCGGCCGCTCTTGTTTCAGCCCTTCAAGCAAAGATTACCGCTCTTACTCTGGAAAACCAGCAACTGGCCAGCAATTTTAAGGTAAGAAGCCCCGAGAACAATCAAAGACTCATGCCGCTTTTTCACTGTACTGTACCAACAACTCAGCTTTACATTCCTTGGTTTTGGTCGGTTGATATTACGATGAACCCGCCGCCTACTCACAAATTCACCAATTTTTTTTTTTTTCTTCTGTGCTATTCACTTCAACTACCTTAATGCTAAGCAAAGAAAAAACAACCCATTCACATTTTTTGGGGTGCTCTCTCTGTAATGCTCCAAAGGCCTGGGTAATAGGAAAGTGGTAATCGATGTGGCGCAGGTATGTTGAAGTGATACATCTCAACAAAGACTAATAGCTTCATATGTAAGGGAGAAGCTAAATTTATGCGGGATTGTAAGCCCATTATTTTGTGAGTGATGTTGTTAGATGAGTTTGAAATGATACTACAGGGATTTGGGATGAGAGTTTTTGATATACATATATACATAGACACACTGTCAATGACTCGTTTTTTTTTTTCTCTCTACTTGTCACAGGAATTGGTCCTTGTTCCCCACAAATAGTGAACTCTACTGAATATCACACTCAATAATAGTATTAAGCGCGCACACACTGATTTTTTTGTTTTGTTTTTGTCATTGTGTGGGGTCGCTCACGTTTTAAAAATCGCTTAAGTTGTTACGAAGTCTGTGCGGGTGCACCCTGCTTTCGTTAGCAGCAACGTTAGCTACAGTCATGCTGCTCTAATGAATCTGCTGGATGCCTTAGCGACCACCGTCATATGGACCTCTGACTTATCAGGCGTTTGAAATAGTTACATTGTTTTGCCATTGAAAAATAATCAGCAAGTAGCATGTTTTGCCATGCAGAGCCAAGAACGGATCATGCACTGGAAAAGAGGCATTGAAGATGCACAGAAAAAGTGTTTTTTTTGTCCGGTGTTGTTTATGTTCAGCCTCTGATTCCTGTTTGCAGAAACATCCATCTCTCCAAGCAAACGAGGACCTGAAAGAAACCAGCCGTCCCGACAGCATGACCTCTAACTCCTCCTTCCATTCCACACGGGATGACTTAGAGCTAGCCGCAGCTGTACCTTCCACCGCCCACGCACCGCGGGAGGACGGAATCGAGGAGGAAGGGATAAGGGGCAGCCAAGAGGAGACCCGACTGCTAAGACAGGCGCTCGAGAACGTCCAGATGAAGCTGCTGGAAACTAGAAAAGAGAACCACTCACTTCAGGCTCTGATAAACCCGGAGAGGAGCAGAGAAACGGGCGAGGAGGGAAGTGTCAGAGGGAAAGCAAAAGAAGAAGAGTTGATCGAGAGTCTGGCGGAGCTGCAGGCAAAGCTCACAGACACCCAAGAGAGATACCACCAAGCCGTGGAGGAGGTGGAGGAGTTGAGATCGCAGATGGGAAGCGACTTGGCCAATCAGCGGCGAGCGTCCGCGCTCGAACAGGAAGTGAAGCAACTTAAGGCGCAGCTCGCCCAGACGGGCTGCGAGCACGAGAACGCGACTCAAAGATTGAGACATCTGGAGGAGGCGCTGCGGAGGACAGAGGAAGAGAGCCGGAGCGCTCAGGAGAAAGAAACGAGGATGGCAAAAATGGAGGAGATGTATAAGGAGGCGCAGGACGAGATTAGGATGCTCCAGGTATGTCGATTTTTTTTGTTGTTGTTTGTATTTTTGTTGAAAATTAATTGGCTGAGGTACTTTGCAAGTAGCTCATCGTCTTTTAACCCAATATAACATTGCCGTTCATCAGGAGGCTCTCAGGGGCACAGTTCCTGTGGAGGCTGCAGCGAAAGATTTCGAGGAAATGAAGTCCGAGCTCAACGAGGTCATTTGCGGACTGCAGCGTCGCCTCCTGGAGTTGTCGCACTCCTACAGCGAAACACGGGCTCAGCTCGGCGCCACGCAGAAGCAGCTGGCCGAGACCGGCCGGGCGCCGTCCCCGCCCCCAGAGGAGCTGCAGCTGGAGATGCAGAACCGGCTGGAGGAGATGCAAACGCTGCTCGCCGACACGGAGAAGAAGTACTCGGCGGCTCTGGAGGAGATCTCGCAGCTGAGGCAGGAGGCGGAGGTTCAGGCGCAAAGCTCCGTGGCCCTCGCCGACCACGCTCAAGTGATGTCGTCGTTGGGAAACGCCATCAAACAGTTGGAAAGTCAGTCTGAAGAACTGAAAGAGCAGCTCCGCCTCAAGACCTTGCAACTGGACGCTCTTCAGAACAGGTGAGCGAGGGAACAATTGACGCCACTATGTCGTCCTGTTTTGATTTCTTTTTTTCAAGAAATGCCTATATGAACTCATTCAACCGCAGCCATTTTCACTGGAGCAACCCCCTCATCCCCAGCGTCTTACTGGATTTTGACTGATCTTGCAAGGCCCACAGAATATTTGGTTCTAATGCTATATAAACATGGAGCCTACCAATATAAAGTTTGGACTCTCTCTTCTTTCAGCAGAAAAAAAAATTGTTTCTATCTTTTTCCATTCTTCAGCAATCGGCATTACAAAATGGCTAAGTTTCATGAAACTGGCGATTCCTGGGCAAAAAAAAATGAGAAAAAGAGCTTTTCGTAGAAGCATGCATTTCAAGCACGTGAGGCACTACTGCCACCTACTGGTCTCTTTTTTACAGGATTTACAATGCAAACGGCTTATTGTCATTCACAGGTTGCATCAGACCCTCCTCTCTATGACGCAACAAAAAAAAAGACTTAGCCGTACAAGTACGTCCTTGGTAGGCAGGGCCTAATTTTAAAAAGACGTACAAGTACAGTACGTCTTGTGGAATGAAAGAGTTGAAGTGTTTTTAAACTAACTCCACGTATACCATAAACGACAACCACAAACCCCCCCCCCCCCAAACTCATTTCGCAACATCACCCATAAAAATAAATAGTTTAAGGACTGCTTCGGTTCCGGGCATGTGCACATGCATTTGCAGCAAAGACACTCAGTAACTTCCACTATAACAGCACAGGCTAAACTTAATCCCTCCCCAGCATACAAAAATGTTGAGATGCATCACATGAACATCCTTCCTTGACACCAATCGCTACTTTCCTATTAGCCATCTGTGTGTAACCATGTTGGTTGTTCCCCTCCAGGCTGGCGACGGAAAAAGAAACCGCATCGGCGGATTCAATCTCCGGCGAGGAGCACAGCAAAATGCGAGAGCAGCTGGAGGGCGAGGTCAACCACCTGACGCAGCTCCTCCAGGAGGCCCTGCGGAAGCAAGACGAGATGGCTTTGGAGGCGGCTGATGCCTGGCAGAAGGTGAGTGGGAAGCCTCAAACTCCCCAACAGCCACGAGGTGGACACACATTGCAGGCTCATCAC